TTTATGCTATTATCTGTATACTTATATAATACTTATATTATCGGTTTGATAGAATGTATCAAATTAAATGACTACATATAAAGTCTGAAATTATTAAAATCTCATAATCTCCATTTAATTGAGAATTTCTGGTAAAGATTCCAATAAATTGGCCTGCTGCTTTGAATTTTACATTTTAAACAGCTTACTCAGTATCAGATTGTTAGCCAAAGTTTAAACATGATTTATTTCCCAAGTAATAGATATCATTTTTCTTTCAAGCAAATATTTTGGATAGAATCAGTCATCATCAAATAGGCCCATACAGCTTAATTTGAAAGCAGGTTTTTGCTGACAGGTAGTTTAGTTTTCTTTTCAAGTATAGTGGCCATTCACACACAGCTTTTAAATAAAGGCTGTCTAAATACCAGAATAATTGTATATCTTGCGTGATGTCAGCATGTCAAACCTAGGATATCTGTGTATGCTGCACATTGTCAGTTTGTCAAACCTATGGTTATTTGTGTACAATGAATGTTGTCAGTTTGTCAAGCCTGTGGTTATTTGTGTACACTTAAAATTGTCAGTTTGTCAAACCTGTGGTTATCTGTGTATGCTGCATATGCTGGAAAGCACAAAGAGTGAACAAAAGCAAACCACTGGTGTATAGATCCAAACTGTACATCATGGTTTATTTCTGAACTCTAAGCATGTCTGACTCTAAACTATGATAGTGTTTGTACTGAAATCTTTTGGGCTATGGATTATAGAATCATCTAATTATTTTCTACTTCATTTGAATTTACATATTGAATGTTTGGTGCCAAATGATATTAACTTAAATTATATCATAAAATAATTTTTGCTGGACGACTAAAGTATTTCACTGTGTGCTTGTGAAAGGCCAATCATATCTCATTTTGCAACACACACACACGTTTTGCACTATTCTAACTTTCATCCTTAGGATGAAAGTTGTGAATTTTTTTTCAATGGTGTTGTTTCTTTTCAAATTATAATATTTCAATTAAAAAATGATGAAATTCTTAATTTTATGTTTTTGGCTGTTTATATGACTCAATGAAATTGATAAATCTGGTGGGAAGATATGAATTTTAAAAAAAGAAAATAATGCATAGTAACACCTTTCTTGAACTTGGATTGTTTCTTTGAAGTAAATCTTGGACTTTAGAGTTAAAACTAAGAACAACAATGTCAATGAACTTATACTCTGTTATTACTTATTTGTCACATACATGTCTGATATAGATAAATATTGTTTTCACCCATATGTTTCTTAACACAGACATACATTTCACAAATTTCATGACTTAGGCAAAGTATAACTAATAAATAATTTATCAGTAACCCACAACTTACAAGTCAGAACTAGTTAGTTCAATTATGGGAGTGAGAAAAATATTTGAAGTTTGTTGGGCATTCAAGCCAGAGAGAAATTTATGATAGTGTAGTAAGAGTAAAAGTCATGTAAATCTGTAGTAGTTGTGTGGAACTTTATGTAGTTGTCATGTGTGGGTGTATGTCGGCTAATTTGGGGAATTAGCTGTTAGAGCAAACAAAGCAAATGTCTAGGCTACATATTTCTTTAATGGTTACTTTCACCATCTCCAAATTCCCACTCCTGTTCAAATACAAAAATCTCAGTATATATATATATATATATATATATATATATATATATATATATATATATATATATATATATATATATATATATATATATATATATATATATATATATCCTAGCAGACTTCACAGGAGACATAATGATATATATATCATATTTGTATAACTGGTTTGTTTCAGGTACACAGAATCTGTGTTTCCTAGATTAAACCAAACATTTGATATCTCACTAATGTGTTTTCCAGAAGTTTATTTGAAAACATAAATGATTATAATATATCCAATCAGACTCACACTCACTTTCAATCTCTCCTTCAAAATATAAATCTTTAGTAAATGAAGTTTATAGGTAAAGGCTGGCAAAGATTGTCAGAATTCAACTATAAAATATATATTTCTTTCAAAAAAATATACAAATTATTCTTGCCAAATAGAGAAACTTAATCTAGTATCTTGTCTCTAATATCATCAACATTTTCAAAATCCAAACCAATTATAAGTCTTGTAAATAATCATTTAATAAATTTGCAGCAACAGAGGTCTGTTGCTCTGACTAGCTAAATCATGGATCTAGAGACCCAGTTAAACCAAATGATTAATGTCCATAAGGCCATGTGGTGAGCAGTGATTATGGACATTCAGATTGCTGGCTTGTATGCTTATTGTATAACAGCTGTATAGAGAGTCTATCAATCTATCTATCAATATGTTGGATGCAGTCACACTTGATTATTAAGCAACTGGTGGTGCATAGTCAAAGATAAAGTAAAGATGAAAGTGATTGGACAGTCAGAAAAGCAATGATAGGAAAGGGAGAAATAAGTAAAAGAATGTAAGTGTAGTTTTTGTCCCTTCATACTCAGACCAATCTGGTACCATAGTGGCAATGAGATAAGGAACCTAAGAGAATCACTAGGTCTTTCTTGTAGCTAACTAGTTCATTAAGACATGTGATTTTGGAAAGCTCCTGCTTGTGAGATACCAAGCCAGGAGCTTCTGCAATTATTGATGCAATTTGTTCCACCATCCTATTGTACATGGGAAGAAGCTGAACTTGAAACAATTTGTTGATGCTGACTTTAATTGTAACAATTTCCTGTGGTTTGCCCTAATTTCTAGCATATCAACATCATCTGGTTGCTTCTAGTCTTTCTAAATCACTGTTAGTGACAGGTCAGTGGTGCTATATTTGTTTTCTTTCTCTCACTTTCTCTATTCTCTTCAGGTCATCAACCATCTGGGTTGTAGACTGTGCTCTTTTACACTGTTCAGGACAAGGATGGAGCTATTTTTCCTTTTAAATAAAAATATAGCACCCAATCTAATACATTTAAGGTTTATTCTTCTCAATCTATTTTGACAGATATTGTCTTTGAAATTCAGCAAATGTAAGCTATGGTCATTTCACATCCTAATACACATTCACAGCAGTATTTACATGAATTTATGTCTTTTGTAGCAGCTGCTCACCTTCTTATCTGGAACCAGGACATAATTATTCCCCTTAGATAAACCATCACACCCCACTGGGGGCTGTAAATTGCTAGATGTCTATGTCAGTCAACATGTTTCCTGATGCTAACACCATCAATTCTTGGTTGAAAAGAATTCACATCTTAATTACACATATGAATTGATGGACTCCACTCCTTTTCCTAAGTAAGTTACTTTGCTATTTAGTGATCCATTGATATAGACACAGTAAAATCAATTGTAAGCATACATGATACATATTATTCAAGTCACATAAATTAATTCTCAATATTGGTGTTGGAGTAATGCATGAAAGTCATACATGAATTTTATGACATACAAAAGCACTAAATCAAAACTCATTTATATAATTTATGAGTCATATAACATTTAGACAAAAGCATACAAATCCATGGCTTCCAAACTCATGGAAAAATTGAAGCATGAATTTAAAATGAACAAATTATACAAATGTTTACAAATGCACATCAATGAACATGTCATATACTCATAAGACTAACCTTGTGCATTATTGAGACTCACTCTTACCATGCACCTAAATCTCTTGCTTTCATGTTGTCAACATTTTTATACATGTTTATTGGACAATCTAACAAGAAATACTTGTTATTTCCTGGAACTAAATTCTGGCTTGCCTCAAAAAACTTAGACTGTCAAATTTTGCAAGGAAGATTTACTTAAAACCTTGTATTCCATCTGGGAACACACATACCCTCCTTTAGTTTCATCAATCAGGATTACTTTCTCTAACTGCCATAAAATGTTAACACTCCCATCAAAAGCAGAATAATCTTCTCTATTCCACCTTTATTATGAACTATGATAGAAAATATCATTTATGACATCTGTTTCAAATGGCCTCAAGATTTCCCAAAATGTTTGCTGTTTTTGTCTCAGTTCTGTCATTTCCACTGTATGACCTTAAAATGAAATGCCTGTTAGACCATTATCAAACAGGCTCTAGTTAAAACTAAATTCATGCTTGTAACTGAACTGATCCCATCCCTTGCATTCAGCAATGTATTGCAAATCTGGCCCATAATCAAACTTAATGTTTATTTGTCATGCATATGACCTCATCAGAATGTAATGTGATATTATCTGTGCAAAATTTTGCACCATTACATTAATAAATAAGGAAAATTATCTGGTTGGAAATGTAAGCAGAAATTTATAGCTTGGCATTTTCATAGAAATCTACAGATTGTTTCCATGATGAATTATGAGAGAATCAACACACACTATACATGGTTCCAGAAATTAATTTCTCTCAAACAACAAAAGTTTGCTCCTCTGAAATAAATGAATAAGCATTTGATTGATATTGCATGTAAAATACAGCCAACTTTATATATTTGGCTCCAGAAGTTTTGATCTTAGAGACAATTTTCATGAAAAAATAATTTGTTTCCTGTGCCAACAATAACTGGCATATTTGATTAAATTTCTGATATTTTGTCCTTGTTCATAAATACTCAATGAATAGCTTCATTAATGACTTTAAATTCAGTTTCCTTTTTCACAATCGGTTTGGTTACAAATCTGCATAATAATGCAATATTATGGCATAAATCAGTTGAAATGGAAAATGCTACAATTAAAAAATGAAGCAATGGAAATAAGCAAGGATATAACTGATATGATGCATCATTGGTACTAGGTAACTATAGTACAGTCTGGCCTCCTGGGTAAATTCTAACTGGCTCATGAATTATGAAGTCTTTATTTACATTTATTTAATTTTATTTTATATGTATAGAAATCAGAAAATATGCATATGCCAAATAATAACGAAAGCAATCATAGTACTTAATAACAGTTCACTGATATAATTACTCAAAGAGTTGTGTGATATGTAGCAATTTTTTTATTGACATTGTGACTGCTCCGGTGGCCTAGTGGTTAGAGCATCTGCTTCTGATGTGGGAGGTCATGGGTTAGATCCCCAGCTGAGTCATTATATTGAAATAGTAATTCAAATGATAAAAACTTAGCAAAGCTGGCACATCTCCAAAAAAAGAGCTTTTGAGTTAATATCATTCCAGAAAGATAGCAAGGAAAATTTAGCTGGTAAGTTAAAAATACTACCTATTAAAGACGGAATCTGTTTAAGAAAAGATAAATTAATGTACAGGATAGCCAATAATAGTGCTCCTGAATATTTACAATCACTATTCAAGTATAGGCTACCTGGAAATACTCCCCACATGTGATCAATGTCTACCAAACAATACAAAAATCCCAAACCAAATAAGGAATTATTTTTAAAAAATTTCCAATACTCTGGAACTTTGCTCTGGAATAGTATTCCAGTTGAGTTTAGAAATGCCCACTCTATTTCCTTTTTCCAAACCCAGTATATACAGTGGCTTCAGATATGCAGCAAAAATAAGTAAATACCTTTTGAATGAGGGCCTCAAGGTAGATTAGTTCTTAGCTGAGTTACCCTCTTTAAATAAAGTAATAATAATAATAATAACAATACCAAAGACTTACAAAAGTGGTACTAACAGCTGCCTCACTTGGCATCCAGCATTAAGAGCTTAGTGTTAGAACTGGGTGGCCTGGTGTCTGGATAATGTAAATTGGTGGGACATCATGCTACATGTCTGTGGCATGATGCCCCTGTGCTAGGCAACACTATAAACTGCCACACTACAGACATGGTAGCGATATGACTGAAAAAATTGTTAAAGCTACATTAAAAATCTAAATCACACACATACATTGTCTGTGCCTGCAAGTATTGGGACACTGAAAATGTAATATATTTTTTACATAAGCACATAAGTCTTGGAGAATGAAAAAGAATTGTTTTTGTTTCCCATGATTTACTGACATCATGAATAACTTGCCATTCAGGCTAAATAAAATTAATGCCTAGATCATTCCATCTTGAATGATTGACCATACAGGTCTAGTAATTCTACTCCTGAAATCATTTCTTTTATGAATAGCTGGGCAGTCAGGCCTAACTTGCCATACAGGTCTAATATGTATAATGCTGAAATTATTTATATTGTGAATAGCTTGGCAATAATGCAGGACAAATACAAATACTGCCTAAATCATCCCATCATGAATTGCTTGCCATACAGGTCTAATATGTCTAATGCTGAAATCATTTTTTTTTTTTTATGAATAGCTGGGCAGTCTGGCCTAACTTGCCATACAGGTCTAATATGGCTACTTCTGAAATTATTTATATTGTGAATAGCTTGGCAATGATGCAGGACAAATACAAATACTGCCTAAATCATCCCATCATGAATTGCTTGCCATACAGGTCCAATAAAACTTCTGTCTTCATCATTGTAACATAAATAGCATGTCCGACATGCTGAAAATAAAAAATAGTTTAATATCTGCTTAAATCATTACTCAATTACCAGTTCTCACCATCCATTTTAAAGCCCTATTTCCTTTATTGCAGTAAAAATATTTCCTTGTGCAATTTATACCTATTATCTTAATGCAAATAATCCTGTCAAAGCTAAGATAATGATGTCAAAGTGCAAAATAATCATGTCAAAGTGTACCACTGATCTTGAAATTGCATTGCAACTCACATTAATGGATGTCCATATTTTCCTATACTGATAGATCTCAGCATGACATCAAATTGATGCTTACTGTCTGGGTTGGGGAAAATGCATTCCTGTGGATATTTAATCACAAATCTGAACCTTAAATACACATTTTTATTTAGCTATCTATGAAATGTACATGTAGTAAAAAAATGAGCTCTGATTAAATCCTTTTATTTGGTCCTCTGTTGTTTTGAGTGGAATCAGTGATTGCTAATTTCCCATGGAGTAGAATATCATTCAGGTGTACTTTTGGAATCATATTTTGATGTTTATTGTCACTTTTCAAGCATACAAGTTTTTTGAAGGCCATTTAACATTAAGATAACATAGAGGTAATTAAAATTTAAAAATCTGTGCCTTTCAGAATCAGGACAAAAACTGGCTGGATGTTTGTACAACAGCATTTAAACAGTTTATTTGATGTCATTCACCTTTCTGTACTTTGAGAAATTATGACTGAATTTGGCATTGATTGTTCACGCATTTTGACATCACCTTTCCATGTCACCCTGGTCAGATATTCCATGAAAAAATTTCTAGGAAATGATCTACATTTAAAAAAATCTTGTTTGTAAAAGACCACTCAGCAAACACAAACTGTTGTCCTTAGTGGACAGGTGTCTTACTATAGAGGTTAATCTGAATAAAGCTTAGCAATGATATATAAATGTTGCCCTTTATATAGTGCTAATTAAGACTGATTTCACTTTTAATGTAATGAAACAACACATCAGACTTACTCCTTCATAAAGTACTGATCCTGGATGACACATTAGACTATTGCTACATGTGATGAGAGAGACTATAAAAAATTCTGTCAAAACCATAGAAATTTTCATGAGCGAAAACACACCACTTCAAAATATAAAAATTTCAGAATAACCAATAGAAGTGGATGTTTATAAGATGAAAATCCAATCCTCCTGAAATTTATTAATAAATCCATTAAGTATTAATAATTATCCTCAAGGATATGGGTAGAATGATCTGATTTGCATAGTTTTTAATTTTTAATTTAAATTTTTTTCCCTGTAGAAGGAAGGACATAATGCATTTAAATGAATTGTGACAATTTCATATAAAGTAAATAAAAGTTCATGGAATTCAAAAGATTAGAAATTGATGTGTCATATTGTCCAAATTGTGCATGTCATAAAGCAGTAACTGTCCAAGTTATGGTACTACTCACTGTATATGTCTATAGCCCTTATTGTCCTAGTTACTTTACCCACTCATTGTACATGTTATAGAGCCCCAGTTGCCATAGTTACTAATTTGGAAATCTGTATTGAGAACCACTCTCAGTGCACTGATTTATTGATTATATTATGTCATGAGAAATCACCTGTCTTGAGAGACAACGATGTTTTACAGAAGAGGTGGCCTTTCAAAGCAGGTTCTATTGTACCTTGATATATCAGTGAAGAAACCTTTGCACCTGTCTGGGTAATAAGATTGAGTATTACCAGTAGTTATTTAGAAAGTTTGCTATGCCATAGTTTATAGTCATATGGTGTGCTTGATCACCTAGATCAATTACATGTAGCATTTCAAAATGAATGTACACTGGATGGCACCACAAAATGATCCTACACTAGAATGGCATTTTTATACATCAATTACATGTACCACCAAAGAATGACTTCACACTAGAATGGCATTTTTACATTAAAGTATTCTTGTCAATTGCATGTACCACCACAAAAATGACATCAAACTAGAATGGCATTTTTATAATAATGAATTCTTGTCAATTACATGTACCGCAATTGAAAGATTGTACACTAAAATGGCAATTTTACATTAATGTATTCTTGTCAGTTACATAAACTACAATATAATGATTTAAAACTAGAATGGCATTTTTACATTAAAGTATTCTTGTCAATTACATGTTCTACAATTGAAAGATTGTACACTAGAATGGCAATTTTACATTAATGTATTCTTGTCAGTTACATATACTACAATATAATGATTTCAAACTAGAATGGCATTTTTACATTAATGTATTCTTGTCAATTACATTTACCACATAAGAATGATTATACACTAAAATTGCATCTTGACATTAATATTTTCTTGTCAATATGTACCACAATAGAATGGTTTTATACTAGAATGACAATTTTACATTATTCTTGTCAATTACATGTACCACAGTAGAATGATTGTACACTGGAATGGCATTTTTACATTAATTTATTCTGGTCAATTACATGTACCACAATAGAATGATTTCACACTAGAGTGCATTTTTACATTAAGGTATTCTTGTCAGTTACATGTAACACAATATATTGATTGTATACTACAATGGCATTTTTACATTAATGTATTCTTGTCAATTACATGTACCACAGTATAATGATTGTACACTAGAGTGCATTTTTACATTAATGTATTCTTACCAATTACATGTAACACAATAGAATGATTGTACACTAGAGTGGCATTTTTACATTAATGTATTCTTGTCAGTTACATGTGACACAATATATTGATTGTACACTAGAATGGAATTTTTACATTAATGTATTCTTGTCAATTACATGAACCACAATATAATAATTGTACACTAGAATGGCAATTTTACAATAATGAGTTCCTTCACAACTACAGCATTCTCTACAGATAGCATTACTTACTCCCATCTCTACAATGAATACCATTAGCAATTTGTCTTTAAATATCAGCTGTACAGTGGAGGGTTAATTTGATACTGTTTGATAAGATCTAGCACAGACAGAATGCAAAATTCCCATTGTACTACTTGCTTATAAGTCAAACTGCAAAAAAAACAACAAAGATCCTGATCTGCCATAGCATAATGCACATGGATATTAGGGTCCATGTTGTTTATTCTACTGATTAGTCCCGATAAGCTTATAGACTCATATCTGCCAGCACCTTATCTGCCTGTAGATCTGGGTCCATGGATTTTGCAGATGGACTCATCTGATAAGTGATATATATGGTAGCCAGAAGCTCTCTACCATAGAATTGGAGTAAACCCTGATGCTTTCACACTTACAGCAGCAGCTTAATGGATGGCTAGGGAAAATTTCTTCATTAGGACTTCTGCATCCCATGCTTATAATGAATTTTGCTTTCAGTTTGTACATGTTTATAAGTCATTTTAAGCTGCAGAGTGCACAGGCCTAGATCTTAAGTTGCATAATGCATCTGCAGATGTGGGTCATTGTATTTTGTTACAACTAATCAGTAGATAAATAACACAGACCTGATTTGCCAGCAAATTCTATGAATACAGATCAGAATTGATGTTTGCAGTTGGACCTGACTTTTAAGCAAGTTTAAATGGTTGAGTTAATCATGTGTTTTTATCTTGCTCTTTTGGTCAATATCATCTATGAGATTTTTTCCTTTCACCAAGTAAATATACATAATTGGGTAAAGATGCATTGTTAATAACCAGAGTACAGAAGCAAAAAATCTGATTTGTTTTGGGGACAAGCTATAATTACTGGACATGTCAAATAAATGTGCTACAAAGACTTTTTGCTAACTTGGTAACCAGATATCTAACATACAATGCCCATAATTATTCCTTGCAGTCATTATCTTTAACCAATTGTTTAAACATAGCCACATAAAATTATACAGTGACAGTATGAAAACTACTGGCCTACAATAATATACATTACAGGTGAAAAACCAAGTCACATAGAATAATATAGTACAGGCAAAAAACCCAGTCACATAGAATAATACAGTACATGTGAAAAACCCAGTCACATAGAATAAAACAGTAGAAGTGAGAATAAAACAGTACAGGTTTGAAACCCTGCACATAGAATAATACAGTACAGGTGAAAAACCCAGTCACATAGAATAAAACAGTACAGGTTTGAAACCCTGCACATAGAATAATACAGTACAGGTGAAAAAAAACCCTCTCATAGAATAATACAGTACAGGCAAAAAAACTAAGTCACATAGAATAATACATTACAGGCAAAAAACCAAGTCACTTAGAACAATACTGTAATGATTTTCTATAACTGTCAAATCCAACACAAGACTTTTTGCAGATGACTGTATAGTCAACCGGGAAATAAATGCCTCCATGGACTGTAAGATCCTTCAAGTAGACCTAAAGCAGCTGGCGCTAATGTTAAAGAACTTGGGGTATGTCATTCCACCCAGAAAAGCGCAGCATCCTAAGAGTTGCAGGAAGCAATCACCAAGCATGTCTGAATACACTTTTAAAGGGTACAAACAAGTTAATCAATGAGCAGACAAAATTGTCTTGGGGTTGAATTTTTTAGAGACCTCTCTTAGAAAAGGCACACAGACAAGATAGTGAAAAGGGGAACAGTGACCTTGATTTCCTGTGCTGCAACCTCCAAATAAAAAATGAAGAAAAAACAGTGCAGCATATTTCACTCTGGTTTGACCAGGTCTTGAGTACTGCTTGACTGTATGGAACCCACATAATAAAGATCTAACAAGTAAGATAGAGATGGTTCAGAGGAAAGCTGCAAGATTTGCCACAAATAAATATCATAAGACTAGCTGTGTTACTGCATTATTGAACCATCCCCAGAGAGAATCACTCAGATCCAGCAAACCAATGCCCAGCTGACCATGTTGTACAACATTGCCACAACCTAGTGGACAAATACCTGACTCTGGCTTATAGCCAAACTAGGGCAAGCCACAGAAAAAAGTTCCAATTAAAATCAGCATCAACAAATTCTTACAAGTTCAGTTTTTTCTCTGGTGTACAATAGGGACTTGGAACAAATTACCATCAATAATTGCAGAAGCTCATAGCTTGGTATCTCACAAGCAGGAGCTTTCTAAAATCAAATGTTCTAATGAACTAGTTAGCAAGAAGTAAGACCTAGTGATTATCAGGACTATGCTGGTTTAGGTTCCTTATTTCATTGCCACTGCTGATCCAATTCTTAGATGGTAGTCCATCATATTGACCTTCACTTAACTTTTGCAAAATGAGGTTATTTGTTCAGAAGAACTTCCAAATGTTGGCAACATCTTAATATTGTCTGGAGAATGCATTACTGTCATTCCTCTGGAGATAAAGCAGGGTCTGTTGATGTTTGATGGCATATAAAATGATGGTATTATGATGATGTAGAATTGATGCCTGCATTCCATTGCAATGAATATTACATAGTTTGAGTATTTTGTTTCTCAGAACAAGATTATTTAGTAATCCTCCTTAATTCTTCCTACAAGTTTTCTCCACCCCTCCATAGTAAAATGGCTCCACTCCCACTAACCCTCTATGGCAAAATGGATTGGCTTGAAAGTTAAATATATATGGCGTGGGGGAGCGGAGGGGGAGCTGGGGAGTGGAGTGTGGGTTTGCCGTTTTGGAGCGACTTTTTCCTAACACATAAAGGTCAAGTTTTAGGGTCTTGTGGGGGCCAAGCACTGAGGCCCGCGTCCTTCCGAGGGGAAAGCGGTCCAGACCGGGATTGCAAGCACCCCCCCCCCGGAAGAAACGCTGCCCAGCCTGGGGCAGAGTCAAAAGTGTCAGCACTGGACACAGGTGCGCCCGGCCCCGGAAGGGGGGGAGGCCACTAGCCCTTCTCAGGGCTCAGTCATAAAACACGCGAGTGTATACATGACTTTAAGCATACTATCTTGTCTTGTACCATGAATGCACACAATATTGCAAATATTGCAGACCCACATTTGTTTGCAAGTAATGCACCACAGATCAAGGCCAATGATGTTTGCTTGAAACAACATAGAATAGAAAACATAGACCCTTAATTACCTGTTGGTACATCATTATGTGACATCAGATCTGGGTCTGTCCTGTTTGCTTTCAGTAACATGAAAGTTCTGGATCCTTAATCACCTGCTCATGTGTCATTATTTGCATGCAGGCTAAGGTCTATGCTGTTTGCTTTCTGTAACATGAAATTATTAGCAGGGACCATTGATTACTTGCTAACAGCTCTGGTGGCCTAGGTGTTAGAGCGTCTGCCTCGGATGCGGGAGGTCGTGGGTTTGATCCCCGGTTGAGTCATACCAAAGACTTACAAAAATGGTACTAACAGATGCCTCGCTTGGCGCTCAGCATTAAGAGGTTAGTGGTAGGACTGGTCGGCCATGTGTCAGGATAATGTGACATGTATGTGGCATGATGCCCCCGTGCTAGACATCACTATAAACTGCCACTCTGCAGACTTCGTAGCAATATGATTGAAAGATTTTTAAAGCTACGTTAAGAATCATAATCACATGACATAATTACTTGCTTGTACGCAATTATGTGACATAAAACCTGGGTCTGTCCTGTTGGCATGAAATAATGCAAAATAAAAAGCATGGACCCTTAATTATGTGCTTGTACATACTTATGTGACATCAGATCTAGGCTTATCATGTTTGCATGAAATAAAACATTAAAATACATGGACCCCTAATTACAGTACTGCTAAATCATTGTGCAACATAAATCTAGGTCTACACTGGTTGCATTTACAGTGCGTTATGGCCATGTAAATATAATTGATAGGCTCACTGTCGGCTGTTAGGTGCTATGTGGAAAATTGGTGTCAGAAGGGAGACCAAAGTAATCACAAGACTTGAACACTATCAATCGAACTCCGTAAACGATTCTCGCTTGTTGGTTTAACAGACGAATAGTGGATAACAGCTCTGGGTTCATATTAAGAAGGGAACCAGAATATGGATAAATTCCGTGAAATTAAGTCTGGTTTACAAAAGACACTATAAAACATCATAAGCATACATTGCAAATGTAAGATATCTGTAACAAACCTACTTTTTTTTGGAAGATTATGAACATTCTTTTTTTTAAAGGAATTAAATAAAGGTCGATGGAGTTTATCCTCGTTTCTACGACGCGATCGTTCATAGCAGTGTCGAAATGCATATTTTGCAAGACTTTGTGGTATCTTGTCGGATTCAGCAGGTGGTCGCTTACGACAGAGCGTTTATATAATAAAATCGATCCTTGCATTACGGTTGTGGTCGGAAATGACAGGTGGTCACTCAGAACAGAGGTCGCTCATAACAGTTTTTACTGTATTAATTACTTTGTATTCATTTTGCAAAGTCTGTTGATGAATCATTTCCAAAGAACGCATGCTGGATTGGTAAATTTACGTTTCATGATGATATTTCGTTGATAAAATAGCAACTCCAGCTGAATTTCTTCAGTTTTGAAGTTGATAAGGAATATGTGCAGGTTGGAAATGTTAAAAGGAAATGTAGGGCTTGGCATTTTCCTTAGAAATCTACAGATTGTTTTCATGGTGAAATGTGAGAGAATCCAGACATGTATATGATTCAAGAAATTTACTTACCTCAAAAAAGCTTGTTTCTTTGAAATAAATGAATAAGCATTTGATATTGCATTTCAATTTATAGCCAACTTTATATATAAGGCTCCATAAAGTTTATGCCAAAATATTTGTTTCCTGTGTCTGCATTTGCACTGGCATGTGTGATTTAATTTGTTTTATTATTACTGACTTGCCCTTTTAATTGTAGGGTCAAAGCCACATTCATGAATATTTGTACTGAGACTGCCAACATTTGTCTTTTCAATAGGAAATATTGTTGACATTTATTATGTCAAGCGCATGTAGCTATCATATAAAGCGTCAGTGAGTGCAGTCCAATATAACTTATACGAGAAAACTGTATTACGTTTATACTGGGATAAGATAAATGAAAATAAGTTCCCTTCATTAATTTTCTTAATCAAGCCTGCTCTTGTAGCATTAAAACGTATGTTTTGGGCAAATTACTAATTAGAATTAGAAACCATTACAGATATCCAAATTGTTTGGTTTGGTTTTGACATGGTGATATAATGTTAACATATTAGTTTCTTGAGCTTCTTTTAAAAATTTTCTAATACATGTTGTAACGGAAAAACTCCATGGACTTCAATTTTCGTTTTGTTATTTACTATTTGGTTTTGTTAAAAGTTATGTTGTTATTTTAAATAATTGGTGGACTTTGTAGTGCCCTCTATCGTCTTAGTTTTGGGTCACGTGATTACACCTGGGTATATATACGGACCAACTGTGGCTACTATGATGGTGTGTTAGGAAGCCATGAAAAGAGAAGATGCCCCATGCAGTGTAGCAGTAGAACCACTCCGCCAGAGCCAGCATAATTGGTCGTATTCCGTTTGGTAGGAGAGAGGCAGGCCAGAAATCTGAAAAGGATAGGAACAAAATCTTTTGTCGACCGACAGCCCGGCGCTACAAGGCTAGTCTAAGCGAACGCGGAAGAATTGCACTAATATACCTTTTCACTGAGGATAACTCTCTCAATTGATCTCAAGCAGATAACGAGGCGACTTGGAAACAGCCCTGCGACCAGAGGAAGACTAGTCAGTGACTGACAAGGCTGCGACACAGTCGGCGACTGCGAGAAGTTGGTGACCTAGTCTGCGACTGTGGCAAGGCTGTTACACAGTCGGCGACTGCGACATGTCGGTGGCCAAGTCGGTGACCCTGTGAGAAGTCGGCGACTGCGACAAGTCTGCAACCAAGTCGGCGACTGTGACTAGTCGGTGATCAGTCTGTGACCAGTCGGCGAACGAGTCTGCGACATTCGGTGACCCTACAACCAAGTCGGTGACCCAGTCGATAACTCTACAAGTTGGCGACTGCGACTAGTGTGCGATTGCGACTGTGACCCAGTGACAAGAAGAATACCCAATCTGCGACTATGACTGCGACCAAGTCGACGACTGCGATAGTCGTTGACTGCAACCAGTCAGCGACCATGTGATTAACCTGTGACCAAGTAGGCGACTCCCGAGAAGCCAGAAATAAGCCGGTATCCCACTGAGGTGGAAATCTGTCACACTCTAGAAAGCTAGTCATTAGACAGATGCAGCAGGGTATCACTCCGACTATAAGGCCTCTTATAAAGAACCCGACATGGTGAGAATGGAGAGAGAGAGAGAGAGAGAGAGAGAGAGAGAGAGAGAGAGAGAGAGAGAGAGAGAGAGAGAGAGAGAGAGAGAGAGAGAGAGTTCTGTAACAATATCTTAAGATACCACCCTTGAAATATAAGGAATTGTTTCCAACAATAGGCATTCTTTACCATTGGTCAATTTTTGCACTGGATTTGTTTGTATTTCCATTCTGTTACTTTTATAACATTTGAAGTATTTGCTCAGAAATTATGGAATTCTTTTGTTTTTGGAAGATCAAATAGCATATTTCACTTGAGTGTTTTGATATTTCAGATAATATTCTGCTCATTTGAATAAAGTGCAAAATAGTTTAGAAAAATAGTAAACCTGCATGCAAAACAGTACGTGTACAGTTTTTATTGAAGAATTAATTCAAATGATACAAAGAAGTTGAATTTTGTTTTAAAGTAACAAGCCAGAAATATTTTTTTCTGAAGAAAATAAAACTATGAAAATTGTTGTTTTTTTTTCCACATCAGTTATAAGAGATGGGGTATGCTATGGTTCAGGTCTTTTCAAAATGTTGCTGACAAGTCAAATTCGATATATTCCTTTTCCTGGTCTGAAAATCAGCTAAACTTGTATCAAATCAATTATAAGTCACAAGTATATTGTCTAGAAATCAGCTAGAGGTGTATTAAATCGATTATAAATGAGAAGTATATGGTCTGAAAATCAGTTAAGAGTTGTATCAAATCAATTATAAGTCACAAGTATATGGTCTGAAAATCAGCTAGAGTTGTATCAAATCAATTATAAGTCACAAGTATATGGTCTGAAAATCAGCTAGAGTTGTATCAAATCAATTATAAGTCAAGTATATTGCCTGAAAAGCATCTAGAGTTGTATTAAATCAATTATGTCACAACTATATGGTCTTTTAATCAGAGTTGTATTAAATCAATAAAGTCACAAGTATATGGTCTGAAAATCAACTAGAGTTGTATTAAATCCATTCTAAGTAATAATTATATGGTCTGAAAATCAGTTAGAGTTGTATTAAATCAATTATAAGTCACAAGTATATGGTCTGAAAATCAGCTGGAGTTGTATTAAATCAATTATAAGTCAAGTATATTGCCTGAAAAGCATCTAGAGTTGTATTAAATCAATTATGTCACTACTATATGGTCTTTTAATCAGAGTTGTATTAAATCAATTAAAGTCACAAGTATATGGTCTGAAAATCAGATAGAGTTGTATTAAATCCATTCTATAATTTTATGGTCTGAAAATCAGTTAGAGTTGTATTAAATCAATTATAAGTCACAAGTATAAGGTCTGAAAATCAGCTAGAGTTTTATTAAATCAATTATATATCATAACTATAGGGTCTGAAAATCAGCTAGAGTTGTATTAAATCAATTATAAGTCACATATGGTCTGAAAAGCATCTAGAGTTGTATTAAATCAATTATGTCTCAACTATATGGTCTTTTAATCAGAGTTGTATTAAATCAATTAAAGTCACAAGTATATGGTCTGAAAATTAACTAGTTGTATTAAATCCATTCTAAGTAATAATTATATGGTCTGAAAATCAGTTAGTTGTATTAAATCAATTATAAGCCACAAGTATATGGTCTGAAAATCAGCTAGAGTTGTATTAAATAAATTATAAATCACAAGTATATTGTCTGAAAAGCATCTAGAGTTGTATTAAATCAATTGTGTCACAACTGTATGTCTTTTAATCAGCTAGAGTTGTATTAAATTAATTATAAGTCACAAGTATATGGTCTGAAAATCAGCTAGAGTTGTATTAAATTAATTATAAGTCACAAGTATATGGTCTGAAAATCAGCTAGAATTGTATTAAATCAATTAAAAGTCACAAGTATATGGTCTGAAAATCAGCTAGAGTTGTATTAAATCAACTAGAAGTCACAAGTATATTGTCTGAGAATCAGCTAGAGTTGTATTAAATCAATTAAAAGTCACAAGTATATGGTCTGAAAATCAGCTAGAGGTGTATTAAATCAATTATAAGTCACAAGTATATTGTCGAAAAAGCATCTAGAGTTATATTAAATCAATTATGTCACAACTGTATGTCTTTT